TGGCTACTACACCATGCCACTACACCAGGCTACTACACAACACCATTATACCAGGCTACTACACCACACCACTATACAAGGCTACTACACCACACCCCTATACCAGGCTACTACACCACACCGCTACATCAGGGTACTACACCACACCACTATACCAGGCTACTACACCACTACACTAGGGTACTACACCACACCACTATACCTGGCTACTACACAAATCCATTACACCAGGGTACAACACCACACCACTGTACCAATATACAACTCCACACCACTACACCAGGATACTACACCACTCCACTATACCAGGCAACTACACCACACCACTATACCAGGCTACTACACCATTTCACTACACCAGGCTACTACACCAGACCACTATACCAGGGTACTACACCTCACGAATATACCTGGCTACTACACCACACCACTACACCAGGCTACTACACCACACCACTATACCAGGCTACTACACCGCACCACTACATCAGGGTACTACACCACACCACTGTACCTGGCTACTACACCACGCCACTTTACCAGGCTACTACACCACACAACTATACCAGGCTACTACACCACTACACTAGGGTACTACACCACACGACAATACCAGGCTACTACACAAAGCCACTACACCAGGGTACTACACCATACCACTATACCAAGGTACTACTCCACACTACTACACCAGGCTACTACACCACTCCTCTATACCAGGCTACTACACCACGCCACTACACTAAGGTGCTACGCCACACCACTATACCAGGCTACTGCACCACGTCACTACACCAGGGTACTACACACCACTATACCAGGCAACTACACAATGCCACTATACCAGGTTACTGCACCACACCACTATATCCGGCTACTGCACCACACCACTATACCAATATACAACTCCACACCACTACACCAGGATACTACACCACTCCACTATACCAGGCTACTACACCACACCACTATACAAGGCTACTACACCATTTCACTACACCAGGCTACTACACCAAACCACTATACCAGGGTACTACACCTCACGAATATACCTGGCAACTACACCATGCCACTATACCAGGCTTCTTCACCACACCACTATACCAGGCTTCTTCACCACACGACCACATCAGTGTACAACACCTCACCACTGTACCTGGCTACTACACCATGCCACTACACCAGGCTACTACACAACACCATTATACCAGGCTACTACACCACACCACTATACAAGGCTACTACACCACACCCCTATACCAGGCTACTACACCACACGCTACATCAGGGTACTACACCACACCACTATACCAGGCTACTACACCACTACACTAGGGTACTACACCACACCACTATACCTGGCTACTACACAAATCCATTACACCAGGGTACAACACCACACCACTGTACCAATATACAACTCCACACCACTACACCAGGATACTACACCACTCCACTATACCAGGCAACTACACCACACCACTATACCAGGCTACTACACCATTTCACTACACCAGGCTACTACACCAGACCACTATACCAGGGTACTACACCTCACGAATATACCTGGCTACTACACCACACCACTACACCAGGCTACTACACCACACCACTATACCAGGCTACTACACCGCACCACTACATCAGGGTACTACACCACACCACTGTACCTGGCTACTACACCACGCCACTTTACCAGGCTACTACACCACACCACTATACCAGGCTACTACACCACTACACTAGGGTACTACACCACACGACAATACCAGGCTACTACACAAAGCCACTACACCAGGGTACTACACCATACCACTATACCAAGGTACTACTCCACACTACTACACCAGGCTACTACACCACTCCTCTATACCAGGCTACTACACCACGCCACTACACTAAGGTGCTACGCCACACCACTATACCAGGCTACTGCACCACGTCACTACACCAGGGTACTACACACCACTATACCAGGCTACTACACAATGCCACTATACCAGGTTACTGCACCACACCACTATATCCGGCTACTGCACCACACCACTATACCAATATACAACTCCACACCACTACACCAGGATACTACACCACTCCACTATACCAGGCTACTACACCACACCACTATACAAGGCTACTACACCATTTCACTACACCAGGCTACTACACCAAACCACTATACCAGGGTACTACACCGCACGAATATACCTGGCAACTACACCACAGCACAACACCAGGCTACTACACCACACCACTATACCAGGCTACTACACCGCTCCACTACATCAGGGTACTACACCACACCACTGTACCTAGCTACTACACCACGCCACTATACCAGGCTACTACACCACACAACTATACCAGGCTACTGTACCACACCACTATACCCGGCTACTGCACCACACCACTATACCAAGGTACTACACCACACAACTTCGCCAGGGTACTACACCAGACCACTATACCAGGTTACTACACCACACCAATATATCAGGCTACTACACGCCACTACACCAGGGTACTACACACCACTATTCCAGGCTACTACACAACGTCACAATTCCAGGTTACTACACCACACCACTTTACCAGGCTACTTCACCATGCCACTATACCAGGCTACTACACCACACCACTATACCCGGCTACTACACCATACCATTATACCAGGCTACTACACCATACCACTACAAGTGTACTACATCACACTACAATACCAGGATACTACACCACACCACTATACCAGGGGACTACATGCAACACCACCAGGGTACTACACCACACCACTACTCCAGGCTAGTACACCACTCCACTATACCAGGCTACAACACGACGCCACTATTCCAGGCTACTACACAACTTCACTCTACCAGGCTACTACACAAAGCTACTCTACCACGCTACTATACTATGCCATTATACCAGCCTACTACACCACACCACTATACCAGGCTACTACACCACAGCACTATACCAGGCTACTACCCCACACCACTATACCAGGCAACTACACCACGCCACTACACCAGGGTACTACACCAGGCAACTACACCATGCCACTATACCAGGCTACTACACCACACCACTATACCAGGCTACTACACCATGCCACTATACCAGGCTACTACACCACACCAATATACCAGGCTACTATGCCACGCCACTACACCAGGGTGCTACATTACACCAATAAACCAGGCTACTACACCATGCCACTACAACAGGCTACTATACCACACCACTATACCAGGCTTCTTCACCACACGACCACATCAGGGTACTACACCACACCACTGTACCTGGCTACTACACCACGCTACTACACCAGGCTACTACCCAACACCACTATACCAGGCTACTACACCACACCACTATACCAGGCTACTTCACCACACGACCACATCAGGGTACTACACCACACCACTGTACCTGGCTACTACACCACACCACTGTACCTGGCTACTACACTACGCCACTACACCAGGCTACTACACCACACCACTATACCAGGCTACTACACCACACCACTATACATGGCTACTTCACCACACCACAATACCAGGCTACTACACCACACAATTATACTAGGCTACTACACCACACCACTATACCAGGCTACAACACCATGCCACTACACCAAGGTACTATACCACACTAGTATACCAGGCTACTACACCATGGCACTACACCAGGCTACTACACCACACCACTATACCAGGCTACTACTTCACACCGCTACATCAGGGTACTACACCACACCACTATACCAGGCTACTACATCACTACACTAGGGTACTACACCACACCACTATACCTGGCTACTACACAAAGCCATTACACCAGGGTACAACAGCACACCACTATACTACTCCACACCACTACACCAGGATACTACACCACTCCACTATACCAGGCTACTACACCACACCACTATACCAGGCTACTGCACCATTTCACTAGACCAGGCTACTACACCAAACCACTATACCAGTGTACTACACCACACGAATATACCTTGCTACTACACTACACCACTACACCAGGCTACTGCACCACACCACTATACCAGGCTACTACACCACACCACTACATCAGTGTACTACACCACACCACTGTACCTGGCTACTACACCACGCTACTATACCAGGCTACCACACCACACCACTATACCAGGGTATTACACCACACCACTATACCAGGCTACTACACCATGCCACTACAACAGGGTACTGCACAACACCACTATACCAGGCTACTACACCAAGCCACTATACAAGGCTCCTATACCAGGCTACTAAACAGACCACTGTACCATGGTACTTCACCAAACCACTATATCAGGCTACTACACTCCACTACACCAGGGTACTACACACCACTATTCCAGGCTACTACACAAGTCACTATACCAGGTTACTACACTATGCCACTATACCAGGTTACTACACCACACCACTGTACCAGGCTACTTCACCACTACACTAGGGTACTACACCACACCACTATACCTGGCTACTATACAAAGCCATTACACCAGGTTACAACACCACACCACTATACCAAACTACTACTCCCACACCACTACACCAGGCTACTACACTACTCCACTATACCAGGCAACTACACCACACCACTATACCAGGCTACTACACTATTTCACTACACCAGGCAACTACACCATGCCACTATACCAGGCTTCTTCACCACACCACTATACCAGGCTTCTTCACCACACGACCACATCAGCGCAGCCAACCGCCCGCCCGCGCGCCCGTCCTAGCCCGACCGCCACGCCGGAAAAAACCGCCCCGGACAAACGCAGGTAAACGCCGCAACCGGCCGCCCTCGTCCAGGACGCCCGTAACCGCCCGCCCGACTCGATCCGCCAACTTCTCCCCCCCGCCCGCAACCGCACCTGGCCCGCCCGACACCCCCACCCGCCCGCCCGCACGCTCGGCAACGCCCGCCCTTCCGGCCCGGCCCGCCGCCGTCCTCGCATGCCCACCCAGCCGCGCGCCCGTCGGCCCGGGCCCGAACTCGGACCCCCGCCCGCCCGCTTCGCAACCCACGCCGCCCGCCCCCCGCCGCCCCGGTCCCGCCCGCCAGGACCGCCAGCGAACCGCAACGCCGGCCGTCGGCCCGAAACTCGGACCCAACCCGCCGACCCGCGGCCCGAACTCGACCTCAACCCGCCCGACCCGCTTCCAACCGCACGCCCCGCCCGCCGGCCCGCCTTCGCACGCGGCACGACCGGCCCAGCCGCCCGCCGGCCCGCCGGCCGACCGTCCCCGCCCAGCCTCGCCAACGCCCGGGATCGGCCCTCCGACCTCGATCGCACCTCCTACCGTCCCGCAACCGCAGCCCTGGTCCCGCCCGTCCCGCCACCCCGGAACGCCACGCCCGTTCGCCCGCCCGCCCGCCCGTCCCGACCGCAACCGACCCAGCCGCTCGCCGTCGGCCGACTGGCCCGACCCAGACGAACTCGGACCCAATCCGCCCGACCCGCTTCGCACGGCACGCCCGCGGCACGAACCGGCCCAGCCGCCCGCCAGCCCGCCGGCCGACTTCGTCCCGCCCAACCCGCCCGCCAGCTTCGCACCGGCACGACACGCCCCCGCCCCCCGCACGCCCCGCCCAGCATCGGCACCGTCCAGCCGGCTCGAATCGTCCTTCGCCGCCCCGCCTCGCCATAACGCCCGGGACCGGCCCGCCCGACTCGATCGACCTCCCCCGCCGCCCCCGACCCTCAGGGTACTACACCACACCACTGTACCTGGCTACTACACCACGCCACTACACCAGGCTACTACACAACACCATTATACCAGGCTACTACACCACACCACTATACAAGGCTACTACACCACACCCCTATACCAGGCTACTACACCACACCGCTACATCAGGGTACTACACCACACCACTATACCAGGCTACTACACCACTACACTAGGGTACTACACCACACCACTATACCTGGCTACTACACAAATCCATTAGACCAGGATACAACACCACACCACTATACCAATATACAACTCCACACCACTACACCAGGATACTACACCACTCCACTATACCAGGCAACTACACCACACCACTATACCAGGCTACTACACCATTTCACTACACCAGGCTACTACACCAAACCACTATACCAGGGTACTACACCTCACGAATATACCTGGCTACTACACCACACCACTACACCAGGCTACTACACCACACCACTATACCAGGCTACTACACCGCACCACTACATCAGGGTACTACTCCACACCACTGTACCTGGCTACTACACCACGCCACTTTACCAGGCTACTACACCACACAACTATACCAGGCTACTACACCACTACACTAGGGTACTAGACCACACGACAATACCAGGCTACTACACAAAGCCACTACACCAGGGTACTACACCATACCACTATACCAAGGTACTACTCCACACTACTACACCAGGCTACTACACCACTCCTCTATACCAGGCTACTACACCACGCCACTACACTAGGGTGCTATGCCACACCACTATACCAGGCTACTGCACCACGTCACTACACCAGGGTACTACACACCACTATACCAGGCTACTACACAATGCCACTATACCAGGTTACTGCACCACACCACTATACCCGGCTACTGCACCACACCACTATACCAAGGTACTACACCACACCATTATACCAGGCTACTACACCATACCACTACAAGTGTACTACATCACACTACAATACCAGGATACTACACCACACCACTATACCAGGGGACTACATGCAACACCACCAGGGTACTACACCACACCACTACACCAGGCTATTACACCACGCCACTATACTAGGCTACAACACCACGCCACTATTCCAGGCTACTGCACAACTTCACTCTACCAGGCTACTACACCAAGCTACTCTACCACGCTACTATACTATGCCATTATACCAGCCTACTTCACCACACCACTATACCAGGCTATTACACCACACCACTATACCAGGCTACTACACCAAACCACTATACCAGGCTACTACACCACAGCACTATATAAGGCACCACACCACTATATTGGGCTACTACACCATGCCACTATACCAGGCTACTACACCACACCACTATACCAGGCTATTACACCATGCCACTATACCAGGCTACTACACCACACCAATATACCATGCTACTATGCCACGCCACTACACCAGGGTACTACATCACATCAATAAACCAGGCTACTACACCATGCCACTACACCAGGCTACTACACCACACCACTATACCAGGCTTCTTCACACGACCACATCAGGGTACTACACCACACCACTGTACCTGGCTACTACACCACGCCACTACACCAGGCTACTACACCACACCACTATACCAGGCTACTACACCACACCACTATGCCAGGCTACTTCACCACACCACTATACCAGGCTACTACACCACACCACTATACCAGGCTACTACACCACACCACTATCCCAGGCTACAACACCATGCCACTACACCAAGGTTCTACACCACACTAGTATACCAGGCTACTACACCATGACATTACACCAGGCTACTACACTACACCACTATACCAGGCTAGTACTTCACACCGCTACATCAGGGTACTACACCACACCACTATACCTGGCTACAACACCACTACACTTGGGTACTACACCACACCACTATACCAGGCTACAACACCATGCCACTACACCAAGGTACAACATCACACTAGTATACCAGGCTACTACAGAAAGCCATTACACCAGGGTATAACACCACACCACTATACCAATATACAACTTCACACCACTACACCAGGATACTACACCACTCCACTATACCAGGCAACTACACCACACCACTATACCAGGCTACTACACCATTTCACTACACCAGGCTACTACACCAAACCACTATACTAGGGTACTACACCTCACGAATATACCTGGCTACTACACCACACCACTATACCAGGCTACTACACCACACCGCTATACCAGGGTACTACACAAAGCCACTACACCAGGGTACTACACCATACCACTATGCCTAGGTACTACTCCACACCACTACACCAGGCTACTATACCAGGCTACTACACCATGCCAATACACTAGGGTACTATGCAACACCACTATACCAGGCTACTGCACCACGCCACTACACAAGGGTACTACACACCACTATACCAGGAGTAGTAGGGATGACACACCACAGTTGATATTTTGTTTCAGGTCCAATATCACGTGTAGAGTGTCAGGGTTTTCAGGTCCAATATCCCCTGTGGCGTGTCGGGGTTTTCAGGTTCCAATATCCCATGTAGCGTGTCAGGTTTTTCAGGTAAATTTGGGAAGTTACAGATGTGGAATTATGGAATTCTTATGAGAAAAATAATTTCCAAGATTTTAGAAGTTTGTTAAAAGTTCTTATGCTGAAAATAAGTTCATACGAGTTTGTTAAAGTTCTTATGGGAGAATTTTATTTCAGAGTTCCTACCGATAATAAACAGATATTTAGGCTGTATATGTTTAAGTTGGATTCTTACTTAGAGACTAGTATATTGCTATATATCTGAATCATTTCACTGCATCTCCCGCTTGTACCTCACACCCCCTCCCTCCCCCCCTTACCTCACAATCTCTCGCTGCGTCTGTGTTTGCTTTAGATCATCAGCCAGACGCCGCATGCAGGTTACCTCCTATCTTATCTTATCTTCTCCATAATATCTGGACCGTCCCTCCACTCTCTCTCTCTCTCTCCTTTTCATATTATTCTCTCTTCCTATTTTTCTGACATCGTAATGTTTTATTCCTTTTTTCATTAACCAGTCAGTTTTACACAAATCAACCGAGGCATCTCAATGTAACCTTTATTACTGAAACTTCCTCGGAGACTATCTAAGCTGGCACCAGCTGCCTGCCCCCCAGGCTATCTGCTCGAGGCAATCATCACCTGATTACCTGCCCTGTCATCTACCAGTCATTGTCAGCGTTCGCCACCGTAATAAATATTATATATATATATATATATATATATATATATATTAGTATATTTTGGAAGCAGTCTTTCCTGTAGACATATATTATTAAATATGACCGAAAAAGTAAGATTAATAATTCTAACACGAATTTTCTCAATCTTTCGTACATTACGCTTCACTGTTGGAGGTAAATCAAAAATCACTTCTCCAAAATTCATTTTTATTTCTAGTCTGACGCGACACGGGCGCGTTTCGTAAAACTTATTACATTTTCAAAGAAGGAAAGTGAAAAGCTTCATAAGAAGGAAAGTGAAAAGCCATGCAACCTCCGAAGAGACAACTAACACAACACCTATACCCCCTATTAGACTATTTCACAGGAACTTCTTTTCCACAGCTCATAAAACAGAGGAAAGGGTCCTGAAAGATATTGTTAATAGAAACGTTATCCCTACAGACAAAAATCAGAGGATACAACTGACGATTTACTATAAAACCAGAAAAACGGCCAGCCTACTCATGAGAAACTCTCCAGACACAAAACAGAACGCTTTAAAAGAGACTAACGTCGTCTATGCCTTCAAATGCCCACTTGGGGACTGTAAGCTCCAAAAAACCCAGTATATAGGCAAGACAACAACATCTCTTTCTAGGCGTTTAACGATGCATAAACAACAGGGCTCCATTAAGGAACATATAATCTCTTACCATAACCAAACCATCGCCAGAGAAATCCTAGTAAACAACACAGAAATCATCGATAGATACAGCGATAGCAGGCGGCTTGACGTTTGCGAGGCACTACACATCAAGAAGTCAACACCATCAATCAACAGCCAATTATTGCACAACTATATTCTACCCACCTCAAGACTCCGCTCCAATATAGAAGCATCAAGAAATATGGACCAATAGGCTTTCTACAAACACTTCTATTCAATACCCATTGTTTCTGTTCTGTCTTGTGTTGATACTTTTAATACCCTATTAATATCCCCTAGTGTTCTGTCTTGTGTTAATGCCACATCACCCTTCCCACCTCACTCAAATGTAATGCCACATCACCCTTCCCACCTCACTCAAATGTAGATATAAAATCAGGGAAACGCAAGTTCTAATCAGTTGTGTATTTGTGAAGTCTTTGAAAATGTAATAAGTTTTACGAAACGCGCCCGTGTCGCGTCAGACTAGAAATAAAAATGAATTTTGGAGAAGTGATTTTTGATTTACCTCCAACAGTGAAGCGTAATGTACGAAAGATTGAGAAAATTCGTGTTAGAATTATTAATCTTACTTTTTCGGTCATATTTAATATATATATATATATATATATATATATATATATATATATATATATATACACATTAGGCGTTAATAAAACATATTTATTTATTTATAATTTATTTAGTCATCTAATTCTTAGTTTACACAATTTATAATAAACGACTCATTTAGCCCGAAGTTCTAAGAAGCTCACTCCTCAATCCGCTTGTATAATATCCGTCCTATTCACTCTTCATCTCTGTAAATAAAGAATAACAGTTTCAGATAGCGTTTACACATGTATAATATTTATCAGACACATAAAACCTCGAAACAAATGTACTCACCATTTTCCGTTAGATAATTTTGTTATAGCCTCATTTAGCCAGTCGTCTCCAAGCACATTTTCCAACAAATATCGCTCTTATCATAACACAGCGTTTC